CTCACTTGACTCTTTCAAAAATAATGATTCTTTTCTTTTGCAAACCACCCTTCAGTACATATAAGCTTTCCATGAGTGTGACAGGAACATGTGATAACCTTGTTTACTCTCATTACGATTCATATCAATGTTTAAAAGTAATGTAGCACTTTACATCTGAACCCAAGCACAAGCCAAGACTGAATTGCGTTTTACTTTCCGGCTGTTACAGCTGATGTGCGTACACACCCCTAATTCATTTATTTATTCATCGCACACCTCATATTGATTCACGTCCCCATCATAGCCGACATGTCAACACAGATGGCGAATGCAGTTTTCACAAGTGTGTCACTCCTGATACAGATACAGAAAAGCAAGGTCACTTCAGGCAGGAAAAGGAACAGGAAAGGAAAGCACTTACCAGCGTACAATACCTGCAATATACATACACTAAAACAATTCCTAAGGATTATCACAAATGATTGATCCTTTAGAATTCATATCACTGCCAAAGTTCCTTCCATTTTCATTTTTTCACAAGAAAAAAACAACACTAATGTGTATATTTGGAGATCTTTTTACATTAAGGTTCAATATTAGGGGTGTCAAATAATTAAAATACTTATTTGTGACTTAAATCTAATTTCCATGATTTTCCACTTACCACAAATGCAGCTGATTAGCCTGGGAAAATTGATCTTATTTAGTTTAGACCTGGATCTACTAGGCCAGGGGCTGTGCAACTATGGTTCTGGAGGGCTGATATTCAGCATAGTTTGGTGACTTACCTGCTCAAACACACCTGATTACACTCATCTGTTCATTGCCAGGTTTAGTGGGTGTGTTTGAGTTGGGAAACTTCCAAACTGTGCTTGGCACTGGCCCTCCAGGACCAGAGTTGTGCACTCCTGTGCTAGGCTAACAGTGCTAAGAAACACTAAAAGTAAATAGCCACCAAAACATTTTCCACAAAAACATGCCAAAATCTTTATACACTTGCTTCAAAATATGTGGACAAGCATAATGTGCCACCTTCCAGTACTACTCTGTCTTCAAACTCCAGGAGTCTGGAGTGCAGGGGTGTGTTGTAAAACGTCACTGCGCAGGCACACAGTGTTAGCACAGTAATCCCTAAGGTCTGCTTACTATAAGAGAGTTAGAAGTTGCATACAGAATAACGACAAACCTACAAAAATTAGGTTTTTGCAAAAAACAGAACAAAGAAATCTACGGGTGGCCTGGCACATTACCACCAAATTCCTGCTGATGCAGACACATGCAAACTGTGGCTTCTGGCAACGAACCACAAACTAGCAAGAAAGACATTCAGTAATATTACAGAATTATGATGTAGTAATCTTTTTTTTCTTCAATTTAGTCGTATCCAATTCCACTAGAGCTGCAGTAAAAGGTTCAATGCCTATACTGTGCAGCTGTAACATGAAGTTTCCATCATACTGACTTGCTCCTACATCCTTTTGCCTTTTTGCTGATAATGAAGCATGCTGTGGCACTCTGCACATCTCTGGCACTGCTAACATGTGCCGTGGTGACTCATGATACAGTTACGGGTGCTGGTGTCCCTGCACCTGAGGCTTAGGCCGATTAGCTAAGCTACACTCCTCTGTTTCGTAACAGCCGAGTTGGCGTTTATCAGCTGTGAGCATGCCGGTCGTTTACCAAGTTTAGTCACTGAGCCCTGCAGTCCTGCATAGAGCGGTGAAGCTTTATGCAGATATCAGGCCTGGAACAGAGCAGCCCTGTGAGTCTGTTCCCTCATTGCAACACGCATGCCACTCAAACCCCAGCAGCCTCGGCCAGCTATGTGTGACATACATAAAGAAGGAAAAAAGAAATCAAAAAGTTGCTTTCTGTCTAGAAATGCCATGATACCAGTTCTTCTTTTCAGATACTGATCTGTCAATACCAAAACCTATCAATACCAAAACCTCGAGTATCAGCTGATACTGATACCAATACGATAAGGAACGTAACAATACAACAAACTGTATCAAACTGTATAGCAGCGTATCGAATGGTACCACACTGTACTTTACAGAAAGCAAAAAATAGTTATAAATATGAGATGCATTGCATTGGGACCAGCATGTTAGCTTGTGGCTAGTGTTAGCTTGGAGTGTTAGACAGGGACACTATAAAGCTTTTATTGTACTTTTATAATGTTGAATGATCCAATTTGGTAAAAATGTAAGCATTAATATATTAAGAAACATTACATACAAGACACTCCTTATTTTTGCTATATCAAATAATGTACTGCATTATATATATATATATATATATATATAAATATATATATATATATATATATATACACGCACACAATTCAAACTATAGTCAAACAGCTGGTAAACAAACACTGTACTACCCTCTGCAAAGAAATACACAGCAGGCAACTTACACAAAACTTTTCATTAACATGACATTCGTTTCCAAAGAATAAGCAGAAAAGTCACTTAAGCTGGCAGCACATTATAAAAGTAAAAGGTGCTTTAGAGCAAAACGATGACTTTTTGGCCAAACCGAGGCAGAGGTTTGAGTAAAAAAGAACTCCTAATAACCATGTTGTTCGTTCCTCCTGATTGTGATTCTGATTGCCACTGGTCCACATTTCACATGATTGCCATGTACAAAGTTCTTTTAAATAGATTTACCATGTTTTTAAGTAGATTTAAATGTATTTTAAAGAAGTTTAATTGACTGCTTGCAAAACTATGATTGTCAGCCAATCACATTTTTCTTTAAACGTTCCTCTGTCAGGCAAAGACAAAACTTTGACAAAACTCCTGACAACAAACCTGCAGTGAGAACGGCAGTCGCAGTAAATTAGTCAGAATTGCTAAGAAATTATGGAATGGTGTTACTGGAAAACATATCACTGCTGTCGTAACAAAACCTTGCATCTCCAAAGTAGTAACTTTTCAGCAGAAGGGAAAAACATACTTCACTGTTAATGTAAGTCAATGGAACCAGACTGTTTTTCCAAGTAATTTAGGGCTGTTTCTTTTGGTCGATTTATCATGAGATTTATACACAATGTAAAGGGCATAAGCATTTTCAAACACCGTCAAAAAATGAAAAATGGAGATATAAGGTTTTGTTCGGACAGCAGTGATATAATGCCTGACACATACTTTCGTAAACACACGTCTGCACTGAACATCTTGTAAAGCCAGTTTATTTTTGAATGAACTCAATCTGTGTGCTTCTAAAACAACCTTGGTAAGTACTGGACTTTTTAGTCTCGTAGCACAAGTGTTACAGATACTGCCAGGTAGCCTAAACTTAAAGTTTGACTGATGTAGCAACCATAAGTAACGGAAGCTGGGCTTCATATTTTGAAAATGGTCAATCAGATTCTCTTTAGTTTTTCACTGGTTGAAGAACAATGCTGGCTTTACAGTGCAAATCTGTGCAAAATTAGACTACTTAAGATATAAGGACAGCAATTCTAGTATAGTACTTATCTCACTACTCATTCTTATATTAATATTAGGCTACATGTGCCTACTATTATCATCATGCACCCTGCTTTGCTTATGCTGTGTCGTAAGCATTTCAGTGATATTTCAGGCTAGATTTGTTATAGAATCAGATCAGTTTTTTATCCAATATCTGACGCAGCATTTTCAGTTGGTACCGCCCTGATACTGAGCATCGGATTGGTGCCATCTCTGTTTCTGTCCTTAACGTAACCCTCAGCCTCTCAGATCTTTTTCTCCCTCCATGCTAATCTGCTCTTTGGGACTATTTAGCTGCATAAAATAATCCAGCTGGATTTCTGAGTTGGCATTAGCAGAAATGGAATAGTGGAACAGTAAGTGCCTGTCAGTGTCTCTCTCACATTCTGCACTGTAAGCAGTGTTGCTAAGCTGAATTGTAATAGACAGAGTTGAGAAGCCAAGGGCCACTACAGGCAAAGCCCCAACCCTTCAGTCTGAAGCTTAGAACGCTAAGATGATTCACAAAAGAGTTCAAACTTGTTATTGTCCCTCTGAAGTACTCTTCTACAGTTCAATCAAATGCTCTCAGTTTGTATGCATTTAGATGAGTGCCTGTGAGATCATCCCCTGTAGATATAATACATAATGGAGCAAAGAGCAAAAATGTTCTGTCTTTAAACGTAACCCTCAGCCTCTCTGATCTCTCTCCTTCCACTCTAATCTGCTCTCTGAGGCTATTTAGCTGCTTAGAATAATCCAGCTGTATTTCTGGGTTGGCTTTAGCAGACAGTGTAATAGAGACTGCCTGTCAGTGTTTGTCTCATATTCTGCACTGTAAGCAGTGCTGCTAAGCTGAATTGTAATAGAGTTGAAAAGCTAAAGGCCGTTAAAGGCAAAGACCCATCCCTCTAGTCTAAAGCTTAGAATGCTTAACTGATTCATATCAGAGTTCAAACTGAGATATCGTTTGGCCAATCAAATCAACTAATATTAGCATTCAGGATTGGCTGAAATCCCACTGATAGAGCTCAGAAATGTTAGGGAATGGGAATATTGTATTATTCCACAATAAAATTTTAACTTTTTTAATGCATGAAAATAGATCTTCTATGAGGTGCTTAGAACAGATAATGACATAAAATGGCATTTCTACTTTTTGGAAGATCCTCAGCTGAACTATGCAACATATATTTTTTTTGTCAATAAAACTGATGATATTTCAAAGGAAATGTGTATGATTAACAAAACCGGAAGAGATTTTCTTCTTCATAGGTGATGCATAACATTTCTAAGTATTTGGGCCTATGTGCAAGTGATGAGAGCCGTGAGAGGCAATTTGAGAATGGCACCCAAACCCTAAACACCGTCGGGAGCTGTGTAAGGGCACTTGTGGAGGCGCCCGAGCTCTACGTAGAAGCACAGAGTACTTCCTTTAGACTTTAGCTTCAATTCTAACTGCCCCTCCTGATCTAATCAGTAGTCCTTAATAAGTGAATGAGGTGTGATAGACTTGAGTTAAACTATATCTAAACCATCTTTCCTTCTTTTGTCCAGATGGGAAATGCCTCGGAAACTGGCCGGTTTGTTTCCACAATCCCCAAGGAGCATGATGTCTTCATGGGCGCCCTTTACACGACTTTCTGTAAGCCAACATGAACTTCATCATTAGTGCCTGTGCAAGAGAGCCATTCAAAGCCATTCAGTCCACACAGAAAGTAGAGCCAGCTGTGTTTTGGTATCTAATGACTGTGGCACTGTAGGGAACTCACTTCCTCCTCTTAGCTGTCTCAGCTCATTTCACATGAGAGTTAATTAAAATCAGTAAGAAATATCTAGAAACAGGATGAGTTATCTTGTAATATTCCTACAAAAATGAAATATTAGATTAAATTTAAAATACTTTCCCTTTTTGATATATATATTTTTTTTTTACAGAGGATGTCCTACATTGTTCAGTGCAGTGGCAAACCATTCTTAGAGCTAGGCCTTGACTTTGGGCCATAAATGGTCTAAAAATTAGAAAAACAAACAACTACTATGATAATGCTAGGGGAATTGTAATGTTATGTTAGCACTAAGCTAACGGTGGTACACATTAGTATTTTTTCATAGTTCTAGCCAAAAAAAAACATTTCAAGCCTGTAAAAGACATTCTATATGTTTCGTTTGATGCTTATGACAGACACTATCATATGTTTGCAGTTTTACAGTACCTTCAGTAAAGAACCCTGACATTCACCTGCCACCACTATTTTTGATTTCTAACAGCTCTAGAAACCTAAAAAACACTATTGCTGGTATTTATAGTCAGTGAGGTAGCTAGGTCTTCCAGAGGATCCGTAGTTACATGTTGTCACTTTTCAAGTGTCATTTCTGACTTATGTTGGTAGTTAGTATTTGGTGGCCTTCTTTCCAGCTCCTAAAAGGTCTAACCCAGAGGCTGACAACCCAAATGTTAAGAAGAGCCTTTTTGTCCTTTTAACAAAAATCTAACCACCTTGAGAGCCACAACAGGCTGTACTAGTACTAGTACTAGTACTGTACTACTACAGACTAATAAATATAATATAAACAAAAACAGTCTTTAGCTCAGCTATAGCCGTTTTTCTCGCATCTCCGGCAGGAAACTTTTCCTCAAAAGTGGAATAGTTTCTTGTAAAATGTCTCTCAGTGTCAGCTTCTCATTCACCTGCTTCTCATTCGAATTTTCTGTTCCACCTTAAATGGTGCAGCAATTACATTCTGGCACCACACACACCATTTAAGGTGGAACAGGAAAATTTGAATGAGAAGCTGGCGAACGAGAAACTGACTTCAGCTTTGCAGGTTTTTAGTGTTTGACAGTTTCTCGTTGCAGATTAAATGTATCAGGAAACTAGCTGGTGTGATTATAAATGCAAATACGTACATTCGTCTCCAAATCATCAATGTTTGTCTTAAATCTTTCTCTTTGCCATTTCATAGCAGTCTGCATAACTTTCAGGGTTAAAGGCTGGTGAATTAGCAGATATAGGCTACATTAACACCCAGCGATTGAAGACAAAACAATCAGCAGAGCTTTATTTTACTGCAAAGGAGAATTATTTATTTTTACCTAAAGATCTAATTCCGCTGTGGAGACGCAACAGTGCAGTAAAAGAGCCGTATGGCGCTCCGGAGCCGCATGTTACCGACCCCTGGTCTAACCAATAGCTTCCCTATATCCAGACACCACAAGAAAAAATTCTGATTGGATAGGATCGGCCTTTTCAAACTGTAACCTTCTGGTTGTCAATTAATACTTGGAATGGAACAAGAGTACTTTTCTATAACAGAGAGGTTGGCATAGCATGCTGGCTAACACATGGCACACTGGGGTTCGATTCCCATGTAAGCATACCATGCTATACTAAGAGTCCTACACGCTACATTTGCCTACCGCTGTACGATGATCAAACTGTAAGCTGCTTTGGTAAAGGTAAACAAAAATAAACTAACAACATAGACAAGTATTACATACAAAGACCACTAGTCCTTCACTCTAGAAGGCTCTGATTGTTCTTCTCTGGTGCTGTTTCATTTAAACACCTCCAGCTAACATGCTAAGCTTCAGAGATCTGCAATATAGCAGTCTAGACAAACTCAGCACTAAGCAGATTTGCCAAGTCACTCTGAACTGACATGGTTTCGCTTCAGGTAGTAAAGCCATTAAAAAGATCTCATGATAGAACAGGAAAGGGCTCACCTTCAAAAATGTAATCCTACTTCATATCGCTAATCTTCTCACCAAATGTGCCTCCTGAGTTCATCTGTAATTTGCACAGACAAATGACCTTTGGATTGCTTAAACGGTATTCACGCATATTTCTCTGCTGATATGCATATATTAGAATGTGAGCCAAGATTGGTTACTAATAATGAGGTTATATTAATATAAAAAAGACATTTGGTCAGCAAACTCAACAGCTTAGAAATAAACTTTTTTGTGCTTCCATGATGCTGACTCATGCTTCATTGCTTTGAAGCATTACTCGCACATGCGTGTGGAGCAAGAAAAAAAACTGTAATTTATATTAGAGTAACCAAAATTGTAAGGCCAAAGCTCTGGAGGTTAGATTGCTATTATGCAAGAATAAGCAGCAAATAGAACAGTGGGTTCTCACAGTGGCAGTGAAATTACAGTAAAACAACAACAGCTTGTTTCTGGCAGATATCCAAGCTTCTGGAAAGCTAATGCAACACTAACATCAGTGCCGCATGTAGAGCTCTAATCAGTAGATGGACAGATGGACAGTAAAATCCCCAAAAAATAACCAAACTTTTAAATGTATTTCCTGTACCTGTTTCAGGTGTGCTGTCTCTGCTGGGGAACTGCATTCTGCTCCTTGTAGCGTATCGGAAGAGATCGTCCCTGAAACCAGCAGAGTACTTCATTGTGAACTTGTCCATCAGTGACCTTGGAATGACTGTGACTCTTTTTCCTCTAGCTATTCCCTCAGCATTCGCACACAAGTAAGTCACAGACTCAGCTGCACACAGTATCGAGTTTGAAGAAATAACATATGAATGTAGACTGACTGAGATTTGTAAGAACAGCAAAATATGCACACACGTCATGACCTGAACACTGAATGTAGCTTTCACTTATGGTAAAATGTGACTACAGAGTATCCAATCTGCCCCAAATGTTGGTGCGGATTCAAATGAGGTGAATTAAAACAGACAAGAAAACTGATGATCAGTGAAAAAGTGACAAGTTCAGAAATCAATGCCATTAAAAACATTTCAGTGATTTTAACATGAAATTGGTTCATTGGATCATCTTTACAGTGGTGGTGACACGGAACAAGGGGTCAGAATGTCTACAATGCAAATACACACACTGCAAAAAATAGTATCTTGTCAAGTGAAATGATCTTAATTGTAGTCAATCTATCTAATATTTCTTATTTTGAGATGGTTGTGCTCTTATTATAAGATTATCTAGCTTATTTCTTGACATTTTTTCACCTGTTTTAAGTCATTTTATCAAGAATAATTATCTCACTATATTGGAGATAAATTTACTTAATAAAATGACTTAAAACAAGTAATAACTGTTTGGAAGTAAGTTAAATGATCATAAAATAAGCTTAAAACAATCTCAACAGGAGAAATATTAGATTCATTGACCATATTTGAAGATAATTTTACTTGACAACATACCATTTTTTGCAGTGCAGCTAAAATGACCAGTGAATGATAATAACTTTAATAATAATAATAATAATAATAATAATAATAATAATGTTTATTTATATACATTAAAAATGCAAGCTCAAAGTGCTTCACAGTACAAAGTAAAAACAACAAAGGAAGAAAAGATAATCAAGAATAAAAACAAAATATAATAAACAAACAATAAATGGCAGAAAATTGATATATTGATACATACAATTAAAAAGCACAGGATAAAAGTGTAAATATTAAGAAAAAAAGTCAATAAAAATGCTATTAAGAAAAGAAAAAAATAAAAATAATAATTATAGTAATATTCTGTAAAAACAAGGGAAACAATACAAAACTAGTTCAATGCTAAAGTAAAGAAATACGTTTTTAACTGTTTTTTAAAAACAATTACAGAAGGAGCCTGACGGATGTTTATTGGTGATGCATTCCAGATCTTTGGTGGATAAAAACAAAACACTGCCTCTCTACTCTGTTTAAGTATCATACGTGGAATATGGAGCAGGCAGCACTGGATGATCTCAAAGCTTAATTAGGAACATAATCTATTAGGCACTCAGAAATGTATGAAGGTGCTAAACCATTAAGAGGTTTAAAAACTTTTTTTTTTTGCCCTGTATGCACATCTCTGCCATAAATGTGTTTAAATATATATGTTTTAGGCCAAAACCATATCCCAAAGCTATAATAAAACATTGTGATGCAAAATATTCGTAATCATTTCATGTAATTCCCTTCTGTAGCAGGGGTGTCCAATCTTACCTGTGAAGGTACACTTAAGCACACCTCATTCTTTGTCTTAACCCACTCATGCCCAACAACTAACATTAGTACAAGGAAATGAAAAATGCCACAATTTTTTTATTGTGATTGATCTAAAAGGATGAACATCTACGAGTGCCCATTTAATATGTTCTCAAATTCAAATACTGCATAAATAAATCCTTAAGATGTAAACAAAGTCATTCAGAGTGGTTTGATATGAAATGCTCTGTTCTAAAGAAACTAACTGAATTAGAATTTTACACAGTGGTGGTGATAGGAACCAGACCTCCAAAGAGTTTAATGCCTCTGAAAGCTCCCTCAAATAAAGGGATATTCCATGAAATGGTTATGAATACACTGCTTGACATCTGAGACACTGTTTTATGATAGATTTGAGATAAGCCCTAAGCCTAAAACTGATTTTTAAGCATGTTCATTGTGGAGAGGTACAAACAAACTTACAAACATTACATATAAAAAGTCATGTAGGTTCAATGGTTGTTTTGTGCAGTAAATAAAATGGCTAGATTTGCATTGTAGATATCATGACTTCTGGTTCCTATCACCACTACTGTACATCTGTTTCTCTGCAATGAACCATTTCAAATCAGACCATTCTGAATGACCTTGTTTACATCTCAGTTACTGAATGATGCAGAAATTTTGAAGAAAAAACGAAAACAGGGAAATTCCGCTTTAAAATCAGTATCATGTGAGCAAAACAAAGAATTCAACATGAAAAAATCAGTTTTAGTCATTGATTTGAGAAATATAGTAGTCAGGCATTCTTGGTGAATATATGGACCAAAGGAAATCTAATATTTCAGATATGGACAGTAATGGGTTAACAGGTGAAATAAAATGCTTGTGATATTAATGTATTAAGCATAATTTCACTCTCTCCTTGAAGGTGGTTGTTTGGAGAGCAGACGTGTTTGTACTACGCTGTATGTGGGGTTCTCTTTGGGTTATCCAGCTTGACCAACCTCACTGCGTTATCTTCAGTGTGCTGTCTGAAAGTCTGCTTCCCTATCTACGGTACAGTTAACCCCTCATCACCATCACCTGCCTCAAAATCACTGGACACATGTAGCATAAACTTGAATAAATTCAGCAAAGGCCCTTAAATAGAATAGCTGTTATACAGTTACAGTACTGTGCAAACGTCAGCAGCAGCCCTTCATTTACTAAATCTGCAATCAAAACAGCCATTAAGCACAAGTTATTCATTTTTCAGGAGACATTTCTGAGGAGATTAGATATAAGGTAATCCACTGACATAAAAAGAGGAAGTCAAAGAAGAATAAGTGAAAAGAAAACAGGTATTCAAAAAATTATTAGAAGATACAAAGAAAAAGGAACTCCAACCAACTACGTGCAAGATCTGGTAGACCAACAAAAACTGTCCCCATCAGATAAACAGTCTGTAAAGCTTTCATCTTTGAGAGATCAAGCTCCACTCTTGCTTCAGATCTGAAAAAATACACAGGTGTTTCTGTCCATCCTTCCACTGTGAGAAGACTCAACACACTGTAAGTCTGAAAGGATGTGGAAATCAAGCAAAGCTGCTGGTGTTCTCAGAAAAATGGACTGACCAGCCCTCAACAGCACTGTGTTTGAGATTATGAAAAGCAGAAAATGCAACCAACTTCTAAGACTGAACTTGGTATAAGTGGAAAAATCATTCTCAAAAAAAGTGATAATAATATCAATTATACAACCATAATCAGATTGCTGCAGTTATCTGATTATTCAAATGGTCATCTAAACAACATACTCTGATTTCTTAGATCGGAGTAAGGTCTAGAAATCCGAATAAGAAATCTGATAAAGAGAGCTTGATTTTAGCTCAGTAACCAGATTTCTCAGCGCATGTAAACTCTTACTCTGATTTCTTTCGGATTTCTCAGTCTGTGCATGTGCGAAACAGACCGCGATACTGGCAATATGTAAGCAGTGTTGCCATGAGACGCAGCAAAACACTTTTGCAGCGACGCTAAAATGAACTACATGCTAGCGAAATAAAGGATTTAAATATTCTTCATCTTCTCGATGATGTATGTTCATATTTTGAGGTAAAGTGGCGCAGTGTTTTTTTGTTTTTAAAGCCATGGCATAAGGTTTGAGTTCACGTTACGTTTATGTCATGTTTTCCTCTGTGAGTTTATTGGTCGGTTGCAACACAGAAATCTGATTACTATCTGACTCATGTAGACCCGGAGTTTCTCATTATCTAATTACTCAACAGCAGGTAGCACATTGATCGGATTACTGACAAAATCTGATTTTCTGCAGTTATCAGAATATTAAGTGCATGTAAACACACTCATTGTTTATAATGTTACTTCTACTTGACTGGCGTAGCAGGCTAAGCATCTTTGACAAGCATGCTTATTAGAATACTAAGCCACACCCAGACAGTTCTCAGACAGGATCAGCACTTTTTTAATTCTGACTGTTCTTAGATGTTTAATATTAATAATGTTAATGTTAATAAACACTCAAATTCATTATGCAAGCTTTTTAAATATTTTACACTGTATTCCTTGTGACTACAAATTTAGCCATAATTCTCAAACATCTCACTGCTTCCCTTCCTCAGGTAACAAATTCTCCTCCTCCCATGCTTGTCTGATGATAGTGGGCGTGTGGTGCTTTGCCTCAGTGTTTGCTGTGGGACCCCTGGCACGCTGGGGCCGCTATGGCCCTGAGCCTTACGGGACAGCATGCTGCATAGACTGGTAAGCACAACTTACTGATTACTTACTGATGAAAGGTTCTGTTACAGCTAGATCTTCAGTTTGGGCCATAAAAACACTGCTTATACTGCTGATAATGCTAAAAGACTTCAACATATATTTTTTTTTCTCCACCCAGAAAACATTTTTTTTTTCTCAAAATCTGATTGGTTAATTCCACTGTCACTTCCTAATAATGTTCTTTGTTAATCTAATGTATAAGGCCTCCTAAAGTCCTAACCAATGGGAGACCAAGCATAGCTGTGTCTGCCTGGATTGAGAAACATTTCTGATTGGATAGTTGTCTGTTGGGAACAAAACTTAACAATGAAATAAGAGTATTACTATAATACTAAGGTGATACGGGTCATTCTACACAAGTGAGTCAAAACACTGTGCTTTTATAAGGTTAAAAAAGGGAAAAAAAAAAAATCAGCCATACAAGTTTTTAAAAAGTGTTTTGAAAAAAAGTGATGTGCTTTTCAGAACTTATCTGTCAAAAAATGATAGCTTCTATTTTTCTGCCTTGTATTTTGTCTGTTTTGTCTTTTTAGTATTGAGATATTTGTTTCAGTAGCGACATTCAGTTCTCAATCCCTATTTTTTTTGCAAAAATGTCTACATTTTTCACTGAAAAAGGAACGTACAACCAATTATGAGAACATCGGCAGAGGATTTCAACATTTGACATCCAACAAAGAAAAACTGGATCGATATTTATTTGTTAGTCGCTTAACATTGAGAAGATGATCATTTTTTTTCTGCAAAATGTATTGACACTTAAAAAAGCCCAAAATAGGTTCTTTCTAACTCAATCAACAAAAAGAAAAAAAACTGTCTTCGTGTATTACTGATTTCTGCGATGTTTAGGTACTAACCCAAGTCTGGAACTTGGTAAAATTCTGAAAATACTGAAAAAAGAGGTTTCAGTGTATACTTGGTGAATTTTAAATATAAATTAGTATGTAAAAAGGCCTTTTTAAGCATTTTTCTAACCTCCAATTTGAACCACTTCTGTAGAATAACCCATATACAACAAGCATAATAATCCTATCCTGTCATATAAAAATGAACTACAAATGTAACTAAATTTATAGATGTACATTTTTTGGTTCTCAGAAATATTTAGACCTTCTCTGAGGGATTAGAAGAAACCCTCAAAAAGAAACAAACATGATTTGCAAGAAACAAAATACAGCGTTGAATTTTCATCACAGCTAAACATCATATCTGGATACTTGAATTGCATTTTGACATTAATACACAATTATATTAACAAATAATAGTTTCTTCTGTCCTCTACTGCATTTAATTCTCTCAGGTATGCACCCAAACACGATGCACTAGCCATGTCCTACATCATCTGCCTCTTCCTCTTCTGCTATGTGGTCCCCTGTACTATCATCTTCCTCTCCTACACCTTCATCCTCTTCACTGTACGCGGATCACGGCAGGCGGTGCAGCAGCACGTGTCACCACAGACAAAGACAGCAAACGCACATTCTCTTATTGTCAAGGTAAGCGGGCAAGAAACTAGTGTTTCAACCATATGCTGGACCTGTGGACCCAACTTCTGCAAGAGCCAGAGATGTAGACAACGACTCAGACTCGGCCTTAACTGACTCGCGACTTGTACTAGTGATTTAAGACTTGTGAAGTCTGAGAAGAAAACACCTGATAAAATCAGGAGTGTCAACCTTACTGTAGTAAATTAATAAAACTTTAGTTTCCAACTTTATATGTATGACTTTGGCTGTTAGCTTTAAGGTCAAACACAGTCATTACTACAATGCAAATATCCAGGTTCCAGGTTTGATACTGCTTCAAAAACCTTCATGTACTAAATGTGGTGATTAAAGGAAAGAGACAAAACCAACTGAAACTGTTGGCTAGCATTAATATGCTTATAGGAAAGTCACTGGGATCATCTTTGCAATGCTGTCAGGCAGTTATTTCCAGACTTTTATCTCTTTGGGAGAGACTAAACTACTCGAAACTGAAGCTCAAACTACCATTTCAAAAACATACTTGAAATCACTGATAAAATCTGACAAAACCATAAATAGTTTGTAGCATTTGGCTCAGTAATGCACAAAAAAACGTTTTTTTTTTTCAGGTTGTTCTAGCTACTGCATTTGTGCTGGTCATCCACGACGAGGGGAGGCTTTCCCTACACATGCATAACCAGGAAGCTGATTGGCTCTTTTTCTTGAAGGGCGGGACTTCCTTCGCAAACAGACGCCATGTTGAGCTTCATGAGCTTTCCCATTTATATTTCAACCAGTGACCAGTCTCCTCCTTTATAATGTCTCTATTAGCATGTAGTTTGGGTAGCAAGTACATTAGCTAGCATAAGAGCTAATTTAGCTTAAGTTGAGTAATTTTGAAGTTTTAAATTATAGATCACATTCATTTACATTCATATTCATTTATTCATTTTACTACTACTATGTAGCACTTCAGTTGTGTCCATCAGACAGAAGGTTTTTCTATAATGAAAGGCTTGTTATTTGAAGTCATGTCTAACCTGTCAGGCCTTATAAGGATTTACTTTAGTAGTAGTAATACAGAGACTAAACTAAAACTCTCTGTTTGACTCGCAAGCCAGAGACTAAAACCTCAACCTGGACTCACATGAGGTGACTTGCAAACATCTCTGGATTATGCTGTATCCACAGGCCTCAGCACATATGGGTGGATTTAGAAATTTAATCATGAATTCAACTTAATCAATTTAGGGCCGGTTTCCCAGACACAGACCTAGCCTTGTACTGAATTGCAATGCAATGATGAATCACCATTGGAAACTAATCTTTATTCCCGTCTTTATCCGAAACTTTTAACTGTTTTAAAACAGTCGTATGCAGCAGTTTGGGTGCCTCTGGTCAAACGACATGTTTTGTCGATTTTCTAAGTAAATAAGTGAACACATCCTCTACAGAGAACACACTTCCGCACACTGCAATGCACAATTACTGTTTATTTGCTGAACCAAACATTTGGAAGGAAAAAAAAAACATAAAATGTGGCCTGTGCAAAAGTTATGGTACATTTTATTTTTTATGTATATTTTATTTTGCAGAAAAAGCCATATTGAAAGGAAGATTCCACTAATTTTTCAACACACACATATACACATCATCTAAACCGCTTATCCTTCTGGGTCGCGGTGGGGTGCTGGAGCCTATACCCAGCTGTCATTGGGCGGAAGGCAGGATACACCCTGGACGGGTCGCCAGTCCATCGCAGGGCAGACAGACAGACATACACATTCACACACACACTCACACCTAGGGGCAATTTAGCAAGTCCAGTTGGCCTGACTGCATGTCTTTGGACTGTGGGAGGAAACCCAGAGGAAACCCACGCAGACACGGGGAGAACATGCAAACTCCACACAGAAAGGACCCTGGTCACCCTGCCGGCAATCGAACCCAGGCCATTCTCACTGTGAGGCGACCCACTGCGGCACGATTGTGCAGTGGGTAGCCAAATCCTCCACTAAATGTTAATTTTTCAACATTTCTGCATAATTAAGTCATTGAGATGTAAACAAAGTCATTCAGAGTAGTTTGTGGTTCATTAAAGAGAAACTTACTGACTCTTTACTAAATACTGAAATCTCTATTAAGATTTCTTTACAGTGGTGGTGATAGAAACCAGCTTTCCACAACACAAATAGAGCCATTTTATTTACTATTCAAAATACTTTTTAAGCTTTTATAGGTGATGTTAATGATAGTAAAATAGTGGCTTACCTGAAAAAAAAAAAATTCTTTGGAGGCTATTACTACCCTGCATATCCTTCTCTATCTTGAATTTAAGCTATTTAAAAACATTTTATGCCAAAACTTTCTCAAAACTATTGTAAAACAACATATGGAGCATCAGGTACACTCTTTAAAAAGATAGCTCTTTAAGGGTTCTTTAGTAAAGAAAATGTTTTTTTATGGATTTACAACCATAAACATTCAAAGAGCCCTTTGCATGATTAAAGGGTTCTTTACATTGTGAAGGGGTTCTTCAGACTGATGGAGAATGTGCTGTAGATCGTTTTACATAGAACCTTTTTTAAAAGGGTTCCATATTACACCAAAAAGGGTTCAAACTTATAACAACAGAAGACCATTTTTGGGTACTATATAGAACCCTTTTCAAAAAGGCTCAATATAGAACCACCTATGGCACATTCTCCATCAATCTGAAGAACCCTTTCATGATGCAAAGAACTCTTTAATTTTGCAAAGTGTTCACGGTTCTATATAGAACCATTTTCTTTATTAGAGAACCCTTGAAGTACCATCTTTTTTAAGAGTGCTGCGTATTCCTAACCATTTCACATAATAACTTTCTGCAAGGGAGCTTTTAGAGACATTAAACTCTTCAGACGTCTGGTTCCTATCACTACCACTGTCAATAATTTTGACTCACTCATCCAGATCTCACATCAAACCACTCGGACTGACTTTGTTTACATCTTAACTATTTAATCAAGCAGACATTTTGAAAAATTTGACTGGGGGTATAAACTTTTGCATATCACTGTATATGTGGCAGCTTTTTAATGCAGATTTCTTCTCTGCCTTTTCTCACAGCTCTCTGTGGCAGTATGTATTGGTTTTCTGAGTGCCTGGACCCCTTACACCATTGTTGCAATGTGGGCAGCATTTAGCACGTCACTGCACGTCCCACCCATTGCCTTTGCCCTTGCAGCAATTTTTGCTAAATCCTCCACCATCTACAACCCCGTGGTCTACCTGCTGTTCAAACCCAACTTCCGCAAGTCTCTGACCAATGACACAGCTGAAATCCGCAGAAGAATATGCTCTAGCCCCTGCAAGGGAAGCCCTCTTCCTGAAGAGAAGGACCTGCAAACATCGCAACGCTGCAACAACAAGGACATTAGCAACTCCACTCGCCTTTCCAACGGTCTACCAGACAGCCATGGGGCGTGTCTTCACTGTGCAGAGTCTCACAGCCAACAGGCAACATCTCAAAGGACCGCCCGCGTGCTTGCTGGCTCCACCCACAGTGAACTGACTGTGAGCCAGATGTCAGAAAAAATGCAAGCCGGCTTCATATAAGCAGCCTGAAGATCATCTGACGCATGCCAGAAAGAGGTAGACAGATGAGTGGTGACTAAATGCAGTCCTTGGCAACCGAATGCCTGTTTCTTGAGCAGAAAATATGAGTCAGAAAAGAATAAAATGATTCAGACAACAGACACAAAAGGGATAATACAATGTGAGTCACTTGATTCAGATACTATGTTCCTTCAGTGAAGACCTCTTGAGAACTTTCAGATCCAAGTCAGCTGGAAATAAGTGAACTGGACAAGAGAACACAGAACATTGCAGGACACTTGACAGAATACTCATAAACATTCAGAACCCGGAAACTACTCCAGCAGATCAGCATCAAGATCAAGATGACCTTTGCCATCCCAACTATATACAAGTATACAGTGGAAACAAATGTTCCTCCAAGGCTTTGGAGCAACTTGCACACATGGCCTGTGTGAGGGTTCTTATGCTTGGGGTAAAGAAAAAGATCATCGTCACCTCCAGGAATGAGAAAGATCTTTAACACTCAGAAGTCAAGCTCTATTACTTGTGTTGTGCTATATGCACACAAACACCTATTTCATCACATAGTGACTTCTCAGCAAATTACCTTTACATGCACTTTGCTCTCTGAACCTACAGGTTCAAGTCTGCACTTCTGATGACTTTCTCTGTTTGTTTTGATGTCAATAAATGACAAAAACGTAGTAATTAGTGATGCATTGAAAAGAAAATTCTCGACTGAAACTGAAGCAGAAATTCAGGACACGCTAGGCCGAAAACTGAAACCAGGCATATGCACAGATATATCTGGGGTGCTTGATCTCTCAGACTATTCAAGTGCCCTGTAGGTCGGACCGTTTTATAACTTCTCCGTTCCATTTTAGCACTGTACAGCTAAGCCCCGCCCCTTAATCATTCTTGAGTGCCTCCTCTGATGCAGTACCAACGCCTGCAGACATTTCCGCTAAGCAATGGCAACCTTGGATGTGCGCATCACATTTGCGCTAGATACCCCGTTAATAAATCACCGATAACCCAATGTCACATCACACAATGTGGTTATTCTGAACAACAACCAAACAAATGGTAGTAAGAGGTGCTAATGACTTGCTAAACCAAGTCTTTGTCAGTCTTTTGTGAAGCATGAGTTTATGTGGAGTTGCAATACTGTGGTGTACAGCTATTAGTGTAATGGGTAATGTTACAGCCTTGCATGCTGGAGATTAGGGTTCTAAACTCTGCTTGAGAAAGAAAGTTTGCGTTATTGGCTGCCTTTGGAAAAACTCAACAGTCCTTTTGGTTTCCTCAGAAACAGGATCCAGGGCCTGAAAACCAAATAAATAAAAACAGTTTACATAAAATAAATTACTGAAATAATTACACTATGTAGGCTGCAGATAACAGTTCATGACAACAGAGAATGGCTGGTGATCCAATGAAATGAATTTTATCATTTGTTAGTTATACTTGTCACTCTGTAACCGTCATTTGTTCTTTTTCGTTGTTTCAAACACTGGGGCTACAGATGGCGTAAGAGCGGGACGTAGTTTTTTTTTAAATCTTATCAAATCTGTAATGGAGTTCTTGACTGTTCCCCTCTCCTGATACTCGGCATGAACAGCGGTTACTGTGAGTGTCTAATATCCCTCTTAGAAACTGTGGGTTCATTTAAAATGGCATGCTACATACTACTTGCGTACTCATTAAATCCAAAAACAGTAAGCAGTGTGCAGTACGTGGTCAATATGAATTTCTGCAGTAGGCCAAAGATTCCTGGATGACATACTACTCTGACCAAATATTCCAGTACACAGTCTAAGTGATCTAAAAAACAGTCTAAGTGATCCAAAAAACATTGTCAAGGTTTGTGGCTTTGGTACACTATATTGCCAAAAGTATTCGCTTGTCTGCCTTCACACACATATGAACTTGAGTGACATCTCATTCTCAATCCATAGGTTTAAATATGATGTCGGCCCACCCTTTGCAGCTATAACAACTTCAACTCTTCTGGGAAGGCTTTCCACAAGGTTAAGGAGTGTGTTTATGGGATTTTTGACCATTCTTCCAGAAGCGCATTTGTGAGGTCAGACACTGATGTTGGACGAGAAGGCCTGGCTCGCAGTCTCCGCTCTAATTCATCCCAAAGGTGTTTGATGGGGTTGAGTCTTGGTACAGTGAAGCATTAAGATTTTCCTCCACTGAAACTAAGTAGCCCATCAAAATCACATTTTAACCAAAACTCTTCTTTGTTGTCATGAATGACTGGCCAATTTATGGATTTATGGACAATATTTCAACAGTTCTACAAGCTCTATGTCTCTAATAAGGAGGGCACTAAGTCTATACACACAGAGAGAGAACACATTAGTGAGACAATCAATTGAAAACTTTGTTGAAAGAGGTCACAAAGAGAGAAATATATATCAGTGTGCCATAGTTGGTCAATATAAGTGCCAGATACATATTTTGTATTTATTCAAGGACAATGCATGTGTATGATGGCAAAGTGACAATCATAAGTTATACAGAGAAAACTAATGTAACGTTAAACAGTCTGTATGCTGCTCACTGCAATAATTTTGTTGTGATTTCAACAGATCGATCGTACTACTCTTTGTCCTGAATTCAGATCTTTTGCAAATATAAAAGTACAGCACTTTTAACCCAGTCTCTACCTGCTGCATCAGTATTGTGTGTTTATCTACCACAGAAAATCATTTATGTGTCAGTGTGTGTTTAGAATAGAGTAGAAAACCTGTTTACTTCAAAAGCATTCCTAATAAAAGCCCATCAAATGTATCTGTAAATTAGGTTACGTTCACATTACAAGCCTCAATGCGTCATTCAAATTGTTTGCTCAGATTTGATCTTTCTAACTTGATGGTTGACATTTGTGTAGGTAAGTAACAATGTAAATGAACCTGTGTCCTGAAATGATACACGTCATAATCAATAATGTCACGTGAATGAACCACACGCATCATGAACAGCAGACTAATTAACCAGCAGAATAAGTCTTTGTTGCCAAGATTATCCACTCTGAACAGCTTTCAGCCTCTCATTAACAGAGGACAGGCCTATTCACACAGTCATATTTTTACAAACCAAAACATGTCAAGTTTTGAAAACGAACAAGTATATGAATGCAGTCTTTAACATAGAGTCCAAAACTGATGGACTTCAACGCTGTGTAAGTCATGGTTGTCAAGGTTGCATCTCAAACAAATGTGTCACAATGCTTTTACCAAAGCACAAAGGCTTATACGACAAGCAGCACGCTGACTATAAAAATGCAGAGGTTAAAGAAAATGGTGAGCATGTTACAGCCACTGTATAAAGACACTTTTTAATTCACTTAGATGGATCCAGCAGCTGGTCACCATAGCAATGCAGACAACACGCCTAGCTAGTAGCTAATGAAAAAGCAACAAGAAAGATTTAAGACCAACATCAATGATTTGGGGACGAATGGACTAATTTGCATTTTAATCACTCCAGCTGGTTTACTGATACATCTAATCTGCAACAAGAAACTGTCAAACACTAAAAAGTCACAAGGCTGAGGTCAGCTTCTCTTCACTGAGGTCAGCTTCTCTTCGCCAGCTTCTCGTTTGAATTTTTTCTGTTCCACCTTAAATGGTGCCGCAGATACATTCTGGCACCTCAGGTAACGTTTAAAGTGGAACGGGAAAATTCGAACAAGAAGTTGGTGAATGAGAAGCGACTTCAGCCTCGTAGAAAAGAGAACACTGAGAGACATTTTACAAGAAACTATTCTACTTTTGAGGAAAAGTTCTCTGCCAGAGATGTGAGAAAAGTGGCTGCAGCTGTGCTAAAGCTTAAAGCAGAGCAAAGTAAGTCTGCGATGTTGTTTGTATCATATTTTTAAGCCTATACTAGTACATTAACACATACTGAGACATATTTACAGCCAAGATGGTAAAATGGACATAAAATGTTGTGGCTCCCAAGGTGGATTGATTTTTGTTGAAAGAACAAAATAGCTCTTCTTAACATTTGGGTTACCTACCCCTAGTTTAGACAAAAAAACACTTGGACTTGGTGTGCTTTCAAATCTCATCATTTTTTTAATCTAAAAAATTGTACTTGGTCTAAATAGGCCTTAAGACAAGGGTGAAAAAGAGTCAGATGCTTTTGTAGTTTACTGACACTGACTTTAGGTTAGGCGCTGCTGCCATTTTCACACTGAATGACCGCGCATGCACAGTGAAGATTAAAAAAAAAGAATTCCGATCAGAGCATCTTCATTAAGGTTGCATGGCTACAAATCGAATATGTATCCATTCTAGGACCGCATACAAAAGTGGACCATATCGGATTTGAAAAGATCAGACTGGCGTGCCCACACAGCTCTGAAAAAATCAGATCTGTACCGCTTCAGTTTGGTAATGTGAACGTAGCCTTAAAGAGGCTGTCAACTTCATTTGTTGATCTGTTTTTGCTTTTAACTATAGGATTCTACCTTAATGTACAGACAAATAAAAGTGTTGGTCATTTCGATTGAGAGACTTTTGCACAGTTTTGTTTTTTAAGGTTGGATTTTAGATGGGAGACACTATAATGTATGACGCTGACATCAACCAATCAGAATTAAGGCTTTCGTCAAAGGCTCCTTACCACAGCCCCGCCCCACACAATCTAAAGTCTCGTTAGTTTTGTCTGACTGATTGCCAGTGAGTGAGCGAGAGTGAATGACCCTAACTCTTGTGAAAAGGCTGCAATGCATGGCTTTTATAAAAAAGTGACTGTTCAGCAGTAACAACTTTACAAAAAATCAGTTTCACAATTTCACACAAGTGAAACATGTGAAAGTGTGTTTTAGAGATCAACTGTTTCTTCTCCCTTTCTCTCCTCTGCTGTCACTGGATGTCTGAGCTGCCCGGCAAAGTGAGCAAGTAAAGGAATAGTTTGTGGGCTAGTCTGATTTGGTCAAGAAATGCTTACACTGCGTGAATGAGCTGCAGCCACCTAACCACAGTGCTACATTTTACATG